CTACTTGTGATTTCTTCCAAATATCTTCAAAGGTCTTCAGTGGATGTGCTTAAATAAAAATGGGATATGTATTGAGGATAGCCTACCACAGCATAGTAAAACATTTTTCATAGATTAGGCTTGGGGTAACCATGGAAACACTCTCATTGAACAAGTAAGACCGCATTATTAAAACCAAGATATCTCAAGTGCTATCAAGTCAATTCTGACTTGTAGCGACCCTTTTTCAGAGTTTTCTAGGTGCAGAATACCCAGAAGTGGTTTACCATTCATTTCTTCTGGAGGTGCCTTGTGACCCTGCAACTTGTCCACAGGCTGACTCTGTTCGCAGGAGACACAGGGAGGAATCAAACCTCCAGCATCTGGCTCTGCAGTCTGATACGAATCAAACTCCCAGCATCTGGCTCTGCAGTCTGATATCGACGTAAACCACCGAGCTATCCAGGCAGCATAACCACATTAAAAAATATTTATTTCTAAAATGTGCACATCGTCTGTTTTGTTCACTTCAAAGTAGCTGGGTGTTTGATAAAACTGGCTCTCGGGTGCTCTCTAGCACACTTCCCTTTCATATAATGTACAGTACTTTATTCTACCAACTGAATATTGCAGCTGTTATAATTTTCTTTTTATCTTTCCACTGCCCTCTTTTTAAATCGGCTCCTCCTTTCTTCAAATTCAGCTTCAGCTTTCAAATTTCTGTTTCCTCTCTGCTTCCTTCCCACAGAGCCCTATTACCTCCATTTACTGTTTGTTCAGTTCACTGTGTTACAGTGGCCTTGAGAATGGGTATTGTACAGTACTGTGAGTTCTATTGGATGGCTGGGAATAGTAGACATGAAGATTTGTTTATTTTATTTGTTTACTTCAAGACAGGCTTGCTATCTTCGGGATATACCTGTTTTTTCTCATATATTAATACCATAAGAAGATCTCTGCTGGATCAGTCCAAAGGGCTATCACCTTCTGCGTCATTTTACCACTGGAGACAATCAGATGCTTAGGGGCAGACCATAAATAAGATATTCGGTTAATAGTCTTCCCTTGCTGCTTTTCTGAAGCAAATGGACATCAGAGATATGCTTTATGTGATACGGGAGGTGGTTTAGAGCTCCCATGACTAGTAGCCATTGGCAGCCATGAACTCCATGGATGTGTACAACTCTTTATTCGTTAGTGTTCATTTCTGTAGACAAACACTTGAGAAAGACTTGCAACAGGATAGGACATGAACCATCTAGGATAGCTGGGCATTTGTGAAGAATGCAGTACATGTTCGAAGGTTGAAATGGTGGACAAAGTCTTGTGTTGCAGCAATTTATTGGGAAAAAGTCACACAAGTAAAAAGACAGTATATACAATGCACATAAGCTTTTATCAATGGAAACTTCAACAATTATGTATATTAAAATTCATACATTGTGAAAATACATGTAGACTTATATACACATTTCTGTAAGGAAGGCCATGAGAATGGTTCCCAACTCCATATGGAATCAACCCTGGGAAGAAAATCTTGACAGGGTGTAAAAATGTTTGGCTAGAAACCTCTTAACTTTGCAGCAGATAGAGCAGGGACCTTTAAAGCAGAATTAGCTTCCAGTTTCCCCGGAGCAGACCAGCCCTTTTGGTTCTCATCAACTGGCATTTACAGTCTCAATAACTTGCTTTGAGTCATTGGTAAGAGAAAGAATAAAAAGGTTTCATTTACTCACAGTTCTGGAAAAAATTAAAAAGAGCGTAGTGTAGCAAAAATGACTTGTTACAGGAACAAATCTTAACTGACTTGTAACTACATGACTAACAGAAGGCTGAAAAAGGAAGGGAAAATACTCTCAAGCAGACAGGCATGGTTCCCTTCAAAATCAGCGGTAGAGAGGGAACAGTGGGTTACTTCTGGATTGACTGACAGTCACCCCAGTTCAGAAAGGTCCCTCCCAGCCAGAACTCTTAAAGGTTGCCTAAAGACATGCCCCCATATCCTATTTAAACAAATGTCTACATTGATATATTTTCCTTCTTTGTTGCTTCAGTATTAACATGTTCCAGTAGAAACTTTGGAGAAAGAAGAGTTGAAGCCTTTGCTACCATAAGCTTCTGACTGATAGGTAAGAACTAACATGGATATAAATGCTTTATTGGCCCTAATGAGGGGGACATGACCACTTCTCAAGGCCATAATTGCAATGGCAACAGCTGCTAAAGTACCTGGTCACAGGCTGAAGTAAAAGGCCATCTGCCTGCTTGTTCAAGAAAAGTCTCAAGCATGGCTATGTCAACAGCCTAGTCAGCAGGATCTGCAAAGTGACAGCTTAACTAATCCCACTGAAGAATACCATCCATAGCATCCTCACTCATGCTTGCCATGGGTACTTGGAGTTTCTAGGAGACTAGTCCCTTAGAAGTAACTATTCAAGGAACCCTGAAGTACAGATGACTAGCAGCATGGGATTTCCAGTGTGCAAACGTCTTTCCACTCTATCATTCAATTAATACTATTGTTTCCCCTGGTAGTTCCGCACAGGTAAATTGGGGTGGGTTACTACTCTACATACCCTGTAAACCAAGGATATGTAATTTCTAGTGGTTGTGGAGGCTGGATTGCCCACCCCAGATCCTATTGGAGGGAAATAGTTTCTAGTGTCATCACCACAGAAATCCTTGGCAATTCTACTTGGAAACAGGGCACCCAAAGATAAGATGCTTTGTTTCTCATCAGAAACCACATTCTAGACAGTCCTCCAGAGTGCCATTTTGCTTGGGAACAAGGTGTGCTGTTCTGGCATGCCATGCTTCCCAGCTGTATCACTGGAATTTGTTCAGTAGGGAAAAATTTCTTGGCAGAAGAAAAGGGTCTTAGTGGGGTACACGAATGGCCTGACTTGTAGCTGGGGGTTGCCTGTTTCTCACCTCTGCTGCCAATATTGAAGTGTGTAATTAATACCTTATAGAAGGGAACAGAATCAGAGAGCTTGTTATCTATCATCCCATTCACACATAACCCATAAGGGAGCCATACTGTACTGAACAGTGCATACTGAACAGTGTTTTAAGTCATTCTTTTAAACCCATCCCTGGCATTACATCACCTTCTCCATATTGAATGTAGTTGTTTTCAAAGGACACCTCCATATGTGCAAGGGTTCTGTATGGTTGGGATGTCTGAGTAACAAGTGAATAAAAGTAAAGTTTCCCCTTGACATTTTTTAGTCCAGTCGTGTCCAACTCTAGGGAGCGGTGCTCATCCCATTTTCAAGTTGTAGAGCCAGCGCTTGTCCAAAGACAGTTTCCGTTGTCACATGGCCAGCGTGACTAGAGAACGCCATTTTTCCTTCCCACCGAGGTGGTACCTATTTATCTACTCGCATTTGCATGCTTTCAAACTGCTAGGTTGGCAAGGAGCTGGGACAAAGCGACGGGAGCTCACTCTGTCACATGGATTCGATCTTACGACTGCTAGTCTTCTGACCCTGCAGCAGAGGCTTCTGTGGTTTAGCCCACAGCGCCACCACATCCCACTAACAAGTGAATAGCCTCTATTAAATCATGGACAAGTCAAGTGTCAGGCAGAGGAGTAAGAAGTTAGATCAATAACAATATCTTGTATAGATTTAATACCCTGGTTCAAAATTTGTTTACATGGGAAAATATAAATTTGTTTGAGTAATAATACATTCTGAAGTAATCACACATTCAGAAGTTTAGAAGGCCTCTTTACATAGTTGAAGCAGAATGGGAGGGACAGGACGCAGTTGCCTTCATGTCTTGCTGGAAAGTTTCCCATGGACAAATCTGTGAACAGAATACTGGACTAGATAGGACCTTCAGTCTGTTACTGCATGGTTCTTCTTATACCATGGAAGTAGTGTGCAGACAGAACTGAATATGCCTGTGTGTTGGATTGCATACATTAAAAAACCTTGGTGGCACAATGAAATCGCCCCCTGGGGGGCATTATCGCCAACGTTAAGAACCACTGGTGTAGAGCAATAAATAGCATTCTAGGTATTCTCATCATTTGTCTATCAGCCACAAGCCTTAAGGCCAGCTGTAGTTAAATTTATACTTTTTAGGCTTCATGACGAGCCACCATGAACACAAACTTTAAATTTAAAGTGGTAAACAGACCTAGACTGATTAAGCAATGCATTTTAATTGTGATGGTTCCTGGAATTTATTTATAACTCAAGTATAATGAACCTTAATGAAAACTTTAAAGGATTTTAGGATAGGAGAGTGAGGCTGAAAGCAATCTGCTATTGATTAAGAGGCTCTACAAAGTAAGCTTTTAACTTATTTTTTAAAAAAGTCGTAAAAGGGTAGCCATGTTACTCTGTTCTAGCAAAACATAATAGACCTGTGACACCTTATAAAGTTTCAGAGAGTTTTGTTTGGCACCAGGTTTTGTTGATTGTGGCCAATTTCTTCAGATGCTGGGCAGCAGTCTAGAAAAGCCTGTGCTAAATAAAACATGTACTTCAGGCATTACATGGCCAAGAAGCCCGAAAAACCCACAACAACCATTACAAGAATCTTTGTTGCTTTTAAATAAAAGCAACCATCTTGAATGGCCCAATGTTAGTATTCAAATGCTATCTTCCTCTGAAGAAAGGCTATTTAAATATATACTTTTTTTTTTGGAAAATGCTAATAAATGGGATATTTGAAGCTTGCACTGAGGAAACATATGCTCACATTAGATGAAGACCAGAGATACACTGCTGTGGCCACTGTATCCTGAGTGCATTCTGTGGGGAGAGGCACATCTCATCAGGCAAAACATGAGAACCACACAAAACCAAAAATAACTCAAATGACTGACCAAGGTTCAACTTCTCCTGGCACACTGCCACAAGCCAACCAAGGGAAGACTGTGCAAATAACAGTCAGGGCAACCACACAGGGGTTGTATGCCTGTTCTCTCTGGGGAGTTAGTTCCCTTCCTTTTTGAGCTCCATGTGTCTGTTATTAGCCATAAGTATTGATGTCTAGATCCCCCCATTGCATCTTGTTCAGTATTCAACAACAAGTGAGAAGTGCAATTGGATGTGATCATGACCAACATCATCATATCTCATATATCTTTTTTCCCCTTTCCTTCTTTTCTGTTTCCAACAAAAATGCCTCAGCTCTACTTCTGGTCTGCATTTGTACCTCTTCCCAGAGAAGCTGGTGGTCAATATGATGCAACGGAACATATACATTTAATATGCAAAACAATGTTGTAACATTTTAAAGGAACGAACTGGGCAAATATCTAATGGTCCAAGCCAGCACACAGCTTCTCACACCTGGTATTGCCTGTTCAACTACATGTGGACATAAATTGTGGACAGAAAGAGGTGTTGCTGAAGTAATGTCCATAATGTGACCACCACTATTCTATCCTGTAGGCTCAACAAGGAGTGGTAGAAATGGGCGAAAAAATAATGGAAGAGAACATGACCCACACAGATTGTAATTTTATCAGTGGATGTTGGTGGTATTGATGACCTTTTTACCCAGCTTGGTGCATGGGTGGGTGGAGAGAATGTGAAAGGGCACATTTTCTCTTATACTGTCAAGTATCTTACCATCTCTGAACTAACTCCCTGGTATATACACATTCATAGAGCATGTAGATACAGCCAAAGGCTCTTCTGCCTTGAGAGAGGATCCCATTTTCCAAATAAGGCTTTATTGCAGTTTGACTGCTGGGCGAGTGTAATTGTCTAAAACATAAATGCTCCTTTGAGGAAAAGTCACTGGATTTGACGGTTAGTTAAGAAACAGCCACACTTCTGCTGCATTATTTTGGCTGGCTGGCTGGCAAGTCAAATAAAGTAGAGAAGTAGGAGTCTTAAATATAAGGATCAAGAGCAGAAAGTTAATACATGCAGCAACAGGTAGCCATTTTAAAGGAATAAAGCAGAGCTGCCATTGTCGCCCTCACAGTAAATCAGAAAGCTGGGAACTGTGTCTTCCAGAGCTCCAACGCCAATTACAAGTAGGATATATCTTTTGTGAAAAGAAGATAGAATCAACCTCCTGAGGAAACAAAAGGAAGGCAAGACAGAAAGTCAGGGAGGGAAGGTTGAGAGCTGATGTTAAGATAATCACTCTGGTAGTACAGCCTGTTACAATTGCTATCAGTCTTGAGTAGTCATTTGCTTTATCTCTGCTGGTCAATAAATATCTCTTCTGCTGTAAAAATAATAATAATACCCTGACAGCTGTCATTTCTTAGGAAAGAATTTGCCTTGATGAGTCAGTGGAGTCAACCATGAGATTATGCAACCGCAGAGCCAGGAGAGAATTTTTTTCCCAGACATTTCAAATAGTGAAAGATACATTACCCTTGGCCCTCACTTTAAGAGTACATTATGCCTTCAGAATGGACTGACCAATAGGTAAGTTTGTGTTACCTCTTTGTGGCATGAACAAGGTGTTGGTGTGGGGCCCACTCTAAAGGCCTGATGTGTTGTTTGTCTCTCCTGAAGCTTGGCGTCAGATTTGGACAGTAAGGCTTCCAAGAGGACTCTGTTAGGAAAAACAAACCTTGGAGACCAAGATAACAAGTTACACAGAGTCTTATCTGGTAGCTTCAAATACTCCCCTTAATAAACAGAGTAAAGACTTAGAGAAAATGCACTGAATTCTAATAATACTTATAGCACAATATATTAGACTTGGTCAGACATATATAAATACATGGCAATATATACATTGGCATAGATATCTCAGAGCGACATAACATTCATATTCAAGTAAAGTAATGACCACCAAACTCACAACTGAGTGGCGAAGTGCTGTTCTCACACTCTTGCTTAAATAGTGAGAGCAGGCTATCACTGCCAACATAGCAGCTGGATGTGGTTGACAAGGATTACCTAAGCTTGTCCCATCTGTATGCTATCAGTCATCCATTGGCTTGACGTTTACAGGCATGACTTTGCATTCTCACTACAATATTAAATTTAACCCCTTGTTCACTTAAAGGAACAAATCCTGACACAAGGTTCATTCAACTTGTTAATTCCCCTCAAGCATAAACTTTATACCGTTAATCTTGTTCTTATTCCTGGAACCAAGTTTCACAATTATTGATCTCAGCACCACCACCATGAGATTTATTCAGTCTTTTCTTCCTTTTTTTCACCTCTCACCCCCGAAAGAACATAAACAGCCATGAAAAACACAAAACCACTGAATGAATTCTATATCAAAGAATTTGCACTGACAAGTTGTAAGAAAAAAGCTCTTTACAATTCTTTTATGTCTTTATATTTGCTTTGGTTTTATTTATTTTTTTAAAGCAGAATAAAATGCTTAAGCAGCACAGGACTTGTAACAAGAAGATCAGGATGTTGTGTTACAGGAATGGTTGGATTGACAGTCTGTATCTGAGGCTGCTGAGCCAGGTGCCCGTCAAGAACCTTTTGGAGAAGACTTCCACTTTCTAAATCCAAAGTGTCTCTGTTTAAAGAATTTGCCAGAGCTGCCAGGAATGTCTGATCTGTCCTGCTTTTAAGAATAGCCGCTAGACTTATCAAATAAATGGAAAATGACCAGACAATCACAGACTGTACCACTATGACTTTGTTGAAATCACCTTCGTGTTTCATCTTTCATGTTCAGTCTTTCAAGCTTGATAGAGATGAGGTACACACACACATGCCAGCAATTGAAGTTCATGCACCAGTGTTTGCAACAGTTGAGATGACGAGCTTCTCGGTATTCCAGTGAAACATTTCCAAGCTCACCTGCAATTTTCATTCAGACAAGCATTTTAAAATATCATCACAAAGGGTCACTCTCTGTTCATTGTTAAGTACCTGCTTTTTCCTTGATCTCATGTATGTTTGCATGTGATTACATGTGTGTAGAGGGGTATATGGAGTAATATCATTTGTTTAGTCGTTCAGTCGTGTCTGACTCTTCGTGTCCCCATGGACCGGAGCATGCCAGGCTCTCCTATTTTCCACTGCCTCCCAGAGTTGGGTCAAATTCATATTGGTTGCTTTGATGACACTGTCCAACCATCTCATCCTCTGTCGTCCCCTTCTCCTTTTCCCGTCACACTTCCCCAACATCAGGGTCTTTTCCAAGGATTCGTCTCTTCTCATGAGATGGCTAAAGTATTGGAGCCTCAGCTTCAGGATCTGTCCTTCCAGTGAGCACTCAGGGTTCATTTCCTTTAGAATTGATAGGTTTGATCTCCTTGCAGTCCAGGGGACTCTCAAGATCCTCCTCCAGCACCACATTTCAAAAGCATCAATTCTTTGGCGGTCAGCTTTCGTTATGGTCCACCTCTCACTTCCATACGTCACTACAGGAAAAACAATAGCTTTGACTATGTGTACTTTTGTTGGCAAGGTGATGTCTCTGCTTTTTAAGATGCTGTCTCCATCTGCAGTGAGAATGGAGCCCAAGAAAGTAAAATCTGTCACTGCCTCCATATCTTCTCCTTCTATTTGCCAGGAGGTGATGGGGCCAGTGGCCATGATCTTAGTTTTTTTGATGTTGAGCTTCAAACCGTTTTTTGCACTCTCCTCTTTCACCCTCATTACAGGGTTCCTTAATTCCTCCTCAATTTCTGCCATCAGTGTGATATCATCTGCATATCAGAGGTTGTTGATATTTCTTCCAGCGATCTTAATTCCGCCTTGGGATTCCTCCAGTCCAGCCTTTCGCATGATGTATTCTGCATATAAGTTAAATAAGCAGGAAGACAATATACAGCCTTGTCGTACTCCTTTCCCAATTTTGAACCAATCAGTTGTTCCATATCCAGTTCTAACTCTTGCTTCTTGTCCCACATATAGGTTTCTCAGGAGATATATAAGGTGGTGAGGCACTCCCATTTCTTGCCATAGTTTGCTGTGGTCCTCACAGTCAAAGGCTTTTGCATAGTCAATGAAGCAGAAGTCGATGTTTTTCTGGAACTCTCCGTTTTTCTCCATAATCCAGCGCACGTTAGCAATTTGGTCTCTGGTTCCTCTGCCCCTTTGGAATCCAGCTTGTACTTCTGGGAGTTCTTGGTCCACATACTGCTGAAGCCTACCTTGTAGGATTTTGAGCATAACCTTGCTAGTGTGTGAAATGAGTGCAATTGTACAGTAGTTGGAGAATTCTTTGGCACTGCCCTTCTTAGGGATTGGGATGTAGACTGATCTTTTCCAGTCCTCTGGCCACTGTTGAGTTTTCCAAACTTGCTGGCATATTGAATGAAGCACCTTAACAGCGTCATCTTTTAAGATTTTAAATAGTTCAACGGGAATGCCATCGCCTCCACTGGTCTTGTTGTTAGACAAGCTTTCTAAGTCCTACTTGACTTCTCTCTCCAGGATGTGAGGCTCAATGTCAGCAACCACATTGTCTGGGTTGTCTGGGATATCCAAATCTTTCTGGTATAATTCCTCTGTGTATTCTTGCCACCTCTTCTTGATGTCTTCTGCTTCTGTTAGGTCCCTCCCATTTTTGTCCTTTATCATGTCCATCTTTTCCAGTCCTCTGGAGTAATATAGAATTCATCAAGTGCTTTGAAATCCCTGGTTAAGAAAAATATCCTTAGGGTGGATACACAGCCTCTTAAAATCACATGGGCATTGCCACAGACACCAGTAGCTTCAAAAGAAAAAGAAAAGAAAAGAATTAAAAACCAGGCTTTCCATTGAACTCATTCTAAAGAAGCCGGTGCTACATTGCTTAGGAAGCGGGGTGAGGATGCTAGAGGGCTTGGATTAACAATCTTTGTTGCTGTATCTATTACCTTTTCCCTTTAGACAGTTTAGAGCAGCTACTATGATGAGCAGATGAGCAGATCACAGACCATTAAACTGGTGATTGGAAATGGGATAAGGCTTTAGACAGAGATTGCTGGGGGCAGGCTACTTTGTAGGCTTGGGCAACTGGAGGCGTATCCCAAGCTGAGCAAAGTCCCTTTTAAAAAGAGGGCTCAGGCAACTTGATATTGTGACATAAGCCAGCAAGGACTAAGGGACAGAAAACACATGGGTAGAGATGGGCCTGAACCGAAATATGAGCCAAAAAACCTGAACCAGGTTGCTTTGTACTTCAGTTTGTGCATTCCATTTTGCTGAAACAAACTGAAGTGCTGATTATTATTTTTCCCCTGAGCTTCATTTCGGCAAAATGGATAGCACTTCCCATTGTCCCGTCGCCCCCCTACCTGGTCCTGCTGCCACCGCTTCTTACATACCTTAGCCATCTTTAGGGACAGCAGGCCCGGCTTCCCTTCTGGGAGCCCACCTGCTGTCTCTGCACATGTGTGCACCTACCATCTGATTGCTGTGGATCTGTGTGCACATGCACAAATTGGCCTGGTCCCTGGAAGGGAAGCTGGGCTGCTGTCTATGAAGATGGTGGCGGTGACAAAAGAAGAGGAGGAAACAGCAGGACAAAAGAAGGTAGCCAAGAGGGGAAACAAAAAGGGGGTCAAGTCATTAGGTTCCCCCTCCCTCCAGGCATGAACCAGGAAAGCAAACCACAAATCGATCTGGCATTTTTCCCAATTTTTCCCATTTGGCGTTTTTCCCATTCTTGACACGAGGTACATACATTCTCTCCACCCACCTGTGATGTATATTATTTTGGAACCTCACATGCTGTCTGTAGAATGTGTGACTGGGAGGAATTTTTCTGGGCCGGACTGATTATCTGTCTATCCAGCATGAATCAATTGTTCCTTCCAGCCTTTGATTTAAAACAGAGCCCTACCTTTCTGCTGAGTATCTTTTCCCTCTTTCATCTGTTGGAGTCAGTTGTTTGCTTACTGTGGATCTGTTCAATTGGTTGTTAAATATGTGTGAGGTCCAACTCCCAGGGTAGGGATGTGAAAAATGCTTCCAAAATGCAAAATTCCTCATCTTTCAAGATACCTGGTGGATGAAGGGAAGATGCTTCACCTCCTTCATAGAGTGAGACAAATGGCTGTTGGGTCGATGATTGAACATAATTTTTAAGAATTTCAGTTTCTTCATTGCCAATATTAATGTTGTGCAGTTCCTCTATAATCATAATTTTTGCCTTCGTAAAGTTCCACTGAATTCCTTCTTTGGTACTTTCTTCTTTCACTTTCAATAACACTAATTTCAAATCATTGCTGCTTTCTGCCAGTAAGACCATGTTATCTGCATATATTATTGATGCTTCTTCCATCAATTCTCTCTCCTCCTTCATCTGAATCTAGTCTGGCTTTCTGTGCGATATGTTCTGTGTACAGATTGTGTTGAAATATATATATTTAAATTAAGGAACCAAAAAACAAAACAAAAAAGGAAAGTATTTATTAGCTACTTTGAACATGCCCTTTCCCACTTCAGCCATGCTTCTTGAGTAACCAGACAAACTGAAAAACGCCCCTTGACTCTGCTGAGGTTGCTCACTCAGATGTTCAAATAATCATTAGCAGGTGGGAATGCTGGGGTCCCTGCCATGTGAATGTTTCCTTTACGCATTTCTACCCACCTACCCCACCCAATCTGCTCTTTGAAGTGTTGAGACAGGCTTGGATGCTGAGTTGGCAAATGAAATCTGTAACCATTTACAAGTTGCTGATCCTGGACAAGAATTCCAAAGAATGCATAAGGGCTCAATGTAGGAGTGCATACGGGTCCATGCCTGCAGGCCCCACTCACCTTATGTATTTGTGTGTGGCAGCCTCTCTCCTTTATTTTCTTAACCTGCAGTGTGCTGTGAATGGTCCGTTGAATATGAATAGAACATTTCACAATTTGATGTGAGTGTAACCTCCATTCAGATCTCTTTGATCAATGCAGAGAAGTTGGAGAATGGTGAAAGAACTGCCACTCTAAGAAATGTCAGGATCAAGGCTAGCATGTACAACCCATATCCCACTTTTAGCCCG